AGGTGCGGGAGCAACACCGAGGGCTGCGATCCCGTTGCCGGTCCCGGTCCGGTACGGGCGCAACACTGAGGGTTGCGATCCGATGCCGGTCAGGAAAAAAGGCAAAAAGGAAAAAAAAAAAAAAATGAGGTTTTGAGAAACTTATGATTGTTTTTGCTTTTGGGGAGGGTAGCTGAGTACGTACTGTGTTAGATAGTGCAGCCCTAAGGCATGAGTTTTCTTTGTATCCTTTTAGTTGGAGAGGCTGATTGTAAGAGAGTACTTCAGAAAGTTCATGGAAAAATAGAATTAAAAAATGATATGAATCTCTCCCCAAACTTTTTGTAGTACCCCCGTATAATGATATTATTTGTATTATTATTATTTTTAACAGCTAGCATTTATTGAAAGTTGGGGGTGGCACTGCACAGTAGATGTGCTTTTAACTGCAGATGCTTTAATTTGATACCATGTGCATGTAATTGCAAATTAAGCCTAATGAACACACACACACACACGTGTGCACCTATATGTGCCTGTGTGCTATTGTCTAGCAGCTTGGAAACTATCCAGTAAAACTGGGCCCCTTGAAAGATGGGAGAGATCTTATTATGATGTGTTTGTCCTTCTAATATCTTCCAAGGATGGGAGTGGGCTGCTGCAGACTGCAGGTCCATTCTCACCCCTGAACAGGTTCAAAGTGCTGTGATTTACAGGTCAAAAAAAAATGTGGACAAAAGTGCAAATTCACCAACTGTCCTACGAGGAAGAGAAAGCTCTTCTCCCCACTGAATATGTGAATACACAGATGTGTGTGCGCACACACAATACCTCTCCTGGGTCTTGGTTTATGTGCTGGGGGTATTCCAGTTAAGGAGAACAAGACAACAACTGCTGTCATGGAGACTGCGTTCCAATAAGGAGAAATAGGTCGTTAAAGGTGTTCTAAGAACAGGGTGTTGGAGGCTGTGCTTGTACCTGGATCTGTCGGTGGGCTGTGTGGAAGACTGTGGATCACGGGTCACCAGTGGATTGGCTTGTGCTGCCTGCAGTTTTGATTCTCCCAGGCTCTCTGGAGGATTCCAGGCAGTTGCTTTTCTTCCTTTGGGTCCTGGGGTGGGTTTCTTTGGCCCAGGTGACAGGGCAGTGCTGAAAGGCGCTGCTGCCTCTGTGACCCTCTGTCTTTAGAGGCCTGCTTGAGATCCCTGGTGACCTGTGGCCTTTAAGGAAAGCCTGGGCATCTGGCTGCGCATCCTTGATGATCTGGTCCTGTCTTGTGGTCAGCAGGGAGCCCTGTCCGGCTAGAGTTTCTGATGGTGCTGAGAGTGGTGGTCTTTCACAGTGCTATGTTGCACTGTGAATGCAAAGTCCTTCCTCCAGCACTGTTTCATTTCGTCCTTGCAATTAAAGTGTACTTGTCCCCCTGTCCCCACTGTACCTTGACCAGCCATGGATAAGTGTGTAATGAAGGGTGAGGTGCAGTTGATACTGGTCCATCAGAAGGACAGTACCAAATGGTTTTTTATCTTCTCAGGGGGCTTAGTGAATGAAATGTCTTCAAACATGAAAAAAATGGCAGTGAAGTTTCCAAAAGTTTTGTTGTTTCTCATCAAGAGAGGCTGGATGACAAACAGTGAAGCTGACACCGACCCGGGGCTGGGTAGATGGTACATTCCCTCTGGCAGCCCAAGATGGTGGGTAGCGTCTCCCTGCAGAAGATAAACAGGCGGACCTCACTTCCTTCACCCTGGAATAATTCTGACAGATGAGAAAAACACACTCAATTAGCTCTGAGGACAGTGCAAACCACAACTGCCTGTCCAGCATGGCAGGTAAATGGGGCGGTAAGGGATGGATTGGGGCCAGGGCATCTGGGTACCAGAGCCTGAGGGCCAGCTCAGCCGTCTCCGAGTCCAGAGTTGGGTTCCTCTGATTTGCTAGAACCGTTCACGCACACCCTCCTCCCAGCCTGTACTGGCCGGTCCCTGGGCATTCTACCTCTTTTGGGTACATCATAAGCTTGCTTCAGAATATGGCCTTACTAAGCTTACCCAGTCTTTGTTTCCTTAGTCACATTGTCAGGGATTGTCACCACCTACTAACTTCTGCCTCCGAGATGCCTTGCAAAGTCGACTTGTCCTCCTGAATGGTAGTAACAATGGGGATGACTGACTGGACAGGACTGGCCCAGGACTGGCTCCGTGTTGAGGGTAGGCATAATGGACGATGTGTTTCCAGCCAAAGGGAAAGAGGACTCATCTGGAGATGTCATGGCGGAGGACCATGAGAAAGCGTGCAACAGGGCTGGGATCTGGTCAGGTTTGCTGGGGGACCATTGTAGCCCTTTGGGCTAGAGAGTTTGGAGTGCAGCCTCTCCACTGGACGTTGTGTTGGTTCAGGAGAGCAGATTAAGAGTTACTGTGGGTGGATATCAGTTGTGAACACTGGGATTCTGTGAGAAAGACTTCGGCGGTTTGGGGAATTTGTCGAAATAGTGTACACACTGTCCCTGACTTATGATGTTTCAACTTTATGATTGTGTGAAAGCAAGAGGCATTCAGCAGAAACCGCACTTGGAATTTTGCATTTTGATCTTTTCCCAGGCTAGCGATATGTGGTAGGATACTCTCGTGATGCTGGGCAGCTGCTGTTCCCAGGCAGCCGTGCGATCACGAGGATAAACAACTCCACAGTGTATTAAATGCATTTCTGATTTGCACTATTTGCAACTTCTAATGGGTTTATTGGGATGCGTCATAAGTCACAGAGCGTCTGTCTTCAGGGTGCTAACTTTTTTAGGCTGGATCCACTCCCATGAGGTCATGTTCCCATGCCACTTCCGTTGGACCGGCTTTGTCCTTGGGCGCTCTAGCACTCGTGCAGTCTCCTATAGCAACAGTACACCTTGGCTTTTTGGAGCACTTCACTCAATTTCAAGGAGCCACAGCATCTGGAGAGACACTCCATGGGGCCCTCAGTTCTTCATCAGTGTCACAGGAAGCATTGGGAGAGAAGATACTGGAATGGTGTGAGGCCTCCTTGACACGCAGGAGCACAGACATGAAGGGACCATCCTGGTTCCCACAGGACAGCCCCATCTTGATGTGCCCTGTCCTTCCTCTCTGTCATCCTGTGGGATTGCAGACACCATGGGCAGTGAGGGTGGCCTGGCCTCTTCCCAGAAGACGGACAGCATTTAGATCTCATGATTTACTTCTTACTATCATTGTGAAGTCTACAAGTAAATTCATATATTCATATATTCATTGAACAAGACTCTTTCTGGAAAAAGGGTGTTGCTGTCAGTCCTATCTCAGGGAATAAATCAAAATGGAATTTGAAAAAGGCTTGGCATGAGCTGCCCATGTGTGGTCCACTGGAAGATGGTGGAGCAGAAGGGTCTGTGTTATTTCTGTATCCCACACCTGCCTCCACCCGGTCCTCATTACTGTTGTAGTCGTTGGGAAAGTTCTAAGTGTGTTTCTGCCTACTTAAAGGAACCTTTCCAATGTTGCATGCTTATACTCTGGTTTCTCTTCAGATCGCATAAATCTTTTGCCTTTTACCAATGTTGCATGCTTATATTTTTATATATAAAAATTCAGGAAATATTAATGCAAAACATACATTTATGTATCATTAATATTGTAAGTCCTAGAATGTAAAATCCTAGAAACCAGCTAAGTCTATTTAATGTTTTGGAGCACTGTTGTCTCCTCTCTCAAGCTCTGCATTTTAAAGGGAATGGTAATGGCTAGGCTAGTGTCAAAGTACGGAACTGGTGTTGTGAACAAATCATCCATGTTGGGGAGTGGAATATGTCCGCGTTCACCTGGATTTCCCAATTGGAAGAGGCGATTAGGAGTTGCATTTTATCTTTAATCTTATTTGTTTGTTTCCTCATTGCTGTTTTATTTTCTGAACGTCCTTTCTATGTTCCTATCTAAAAAACAAATAAAAACTCAAACCTTCCTTGGCCTGATTCGTATACCCCAGTGTCCCTTCATTCTACAGCAATGTTTCCCAGAGCAGTGTCTCTGTTCCTGATTCCCTTCCCTCATACCTCCTCAGTCCACTCCAGAAGCGTCCTTGGGAAGGACTCTGTGTGTTATAAGTTGCCACATCCGAGGGCTGGGCTATAGAAGGAAACCATGCTTTGGTTCTCCTAGGAAGAGATAAAAAACTGAAATTCGAATAATTTTTGTTGTAAGAAGTATTTGTTTTGATGTTGCAAATCAGTGAATTTATAGTAAGGGAAAATTAGTAAAAAGCCCAACATTTGTGTTTATGTTTGTATACTATGTGCACACTATGGGATATATGTGTATGTGTGTGTATTAATATTGGATATTTATGTGGGGATACACACGCAGACACATGCACATGTGTGTATTGTGTTTAAATTATTTACATAGTATAGAAATGATGTCATCATAGTCAAGAAGTCAACCTCTCCAAATGTCAGTTTTACATGCTGCAGAATGTAAATGCAAAGTGCTTGAATGAGCAAACAAGCTTTTGGCGAACATGAGTTGTATCTTGGTGGGTTTCCCACTGACTGGCAACCCTATGTTCTGTGTAGACTGCAGAGAGATCCTGCTTCCCATGATGACCGATCAGCTCAAGTACCATCTGGAGAGACAGGAGGACCTGGAGGCCTGCTGCCAGCTGCTGAGTAACATCCTGGAGGTGCTGTACAGGAAGGACGTGGTGAGTACAGCACTGCATGCCCCGGCTGCCTCGAGGCCCGTGCAGGAAGCCTCGTCACCCCAGACTCACGCACGGTACAACGTTGTACTTTCTTCATTTAAAAAGGAAAGGCTTAATTTTAAGGTTTAGCCTCTCTCTTTCTCTCTGTAGAGTTGCACCCTTAAATTATTTTTATGTACATAGGGTGATTATTACATTATAATGTTTATCCTTCTGCACAGAAAATAAGCTTTTATTTCCTGTGTCATCACAGTAAAATGCCTCCAAGACCTAGATTTTAATCCTTAATTAAGGTCAGACGAAAAGGCTTTGATGTTAAAAGTTGGCAATAAAAAAATAGAGGCTAATTATCTGCACTTTTTGTTTTACACCTTACTTTTATTAAAGTAGTACATGCACAAAGTTTTTTAAAAAAGCCAGTTGTGCTTTGGAGCCTTAAAGAGTGCCTCCCCCTCCTTCCCCCAGGCTCCTCTCCCCATAGGTAAATGCTTTTTGTGCTTTCTCAGCTCCTTACACATACACTCCGCCCCCACCGCAGTTATATGCTTACTGCAGTGACATTTTTTATTTTTTAATCACAAGTTGGTGCAAATACATATGGACAAGTCTCACTCTATGCCTCCCATCCCCAACATACCATATACATTTGTGCGCATGTGGTGCACACATGTGTCATGTTCGATTTTCCAGGTGTGCCTGGAAAGGTGGAAAGAGGACCTTGCCTATCTTTGCCCCAGCCCTGGGGCAGCGTGGCCAGGATTTTCAAGTAGACCTGGTTTATTCTTGGCTCTCAACTTCCTTGTCAACACACACGCACACGCACGCACATGCACGCGCGTGACTCATGGCCCACCCGCTCCGGCACTGGCTCATTCCCTCAGAGCCTAGTTAGTTATTGTGAAGAGAGAACAGATTGAATCCACTCATAGTGTGGTGAGGACATTTGCTCTTCCAGGGGCTTTGCCTTTGGAGAGGTTTCAGAAGCCTAACCCGAAGGCCAGCTTTCAGAAGTCTCCTTCCAGTCCCTCCCCTTTTCCTACTGGAGAGGTTGGGGGTAAAGAGGTTGTACAGTCAGATATCACACAGGAGGGGTGACTCTGTAGGGAAAGGCCTAGAAGGATTATTTAATCAGGTTCACAGTTCATGAAGCATAATCAATAATCCCATCACACACTAAATGATAGAGTAAATTTTTACTGATAGGACATTCCATGGCGGTATGAATTTTAGGTAGTTTGCTAAAATGATATTAAACATTCTTTTGTATGTGACTGTTTAAGTTATTTGGATTTGACATGCAAAGCAATGTAGGGTTGTTATCTGCCTGCCTTCCATTTAGTTAGAAAACTGACTGGTGGTCTAATCAGGGATCATAAACATTATATTGTTTTAACAGATTTGCTTTTACTTTTTAAGATTTGCTTAAATTAAATTACAATGATTATATAACAAATTATCATTAATGGACTATAATTAATAAAATGCCTTGATTTTTCTTTGTGAAGGCTTTTACCTTTGACAAGGGCCATTTTTCATCTCGTTAAGGGTTATAATTGATTTACTCTTTACAGGGTAAATGGATTTAGTGACAATTGCCAGGCTTGCATGTTAATGATTGTCTTTGCTGTTGGTTTTCATTGGTGTGTTCTCCTGCAGGGGCCGACCCAGAGGCATGTCCAGATAATCATGGAAAAGCTTCTCCGGACAGTAAACCGAACTGTCATTTCCATGGGACGAGATTCCGAGCTCATTGTAAGTGCTCAGTGACATACACTTGGATGTCTTACTGCGGCTCAGAGCATCTTTCTCAGGAATGTCCCTAAAGTCTATCTGGTTCTTTTCCAACTGTTTGAAAATAAGCTTATTTTATTACAATATCATGAGCAGTCTAGATGCAACCTGGTGTATAAAATGTACTCATTTCCTGTGTTTCTGGAAGCAGGTATCAAAGTTGCAGGGTAAGGAAACCAGCAGTTCAAAGACAGAAGCATTTGGTTCTAGTTTTTGCATTACTTCTAGTGAAAGATGTCTATTTTCTTCTAAGTCCTCATTCTTCTGGCAGTTTCTTTCTACATATTTACATTTAAGGTGTCATTAATAAAATTTTATGAAGGACCTTAAAAAGTAATTGAGGTACTCCAACCTAGCTCTTTTATTGTCTGTTCTAATGTATTGTAGGCGTTTTTCCAATATGGAGTAGTTAGACCTGGAAAACTATTAATTTGTTTTCAAGAGTATTTTAACAATAATTTTGGCAGTGTTTCAAATTTCACACAGAGTTTACTGTTATTCTCACCACTCCCATTATTATAAGTTTGCTTTCTTAGGCAAAAGATCCACATGCAGGTCCTGTTTAAATTTTTTGGATGTTTTACTGTAGCTAGTACATGTTATCATTTCTAGTACATGTTATCGTTGAACTAACCTTGCTGGATGGCCTTTCAAAAAAATAACTTCTCTAATCAGAGAACCCAAAGTCTATTTACGGTTGTCACTGGCAATCAGATGAGGCAATCAGTCTTTCTTAGTGTGTGTCCTTAGTTCTTTCTGCATGTCTGGACAGTGAACGGGAAGGTGAAGCTTGTCTCCTTGGGACAGCATAGCAGGGATTTAGCACTGGGCTTCTTTTGGTTCCTGTGGCTGGTGTCACAACAGAGATGTGGTTTTGGGTGAATCACGGAGGTAGCACAGGAGAACATGCACCACCTTGGTATGTTTGTCAGTAAAACAGTCCAGTTTACATCTCAGTTTCAGCATGTGCTACTTTTAGATTTTCTATTTTAATGTATATCTCATGTAAATGTGGACTATAACATGTGGGAATTAGGAAATAAAATGCTTCTGTGTAGATTGGCTCTGTGTGCAGTGGATGCTTCCATTGTTAGGAAGGTGTAAATTTGTCTGCCTCTGCCTATTCTTCATCATAGCCACTCTCTTCCATAATCTAAAAACACCTTTGTATGCTTAATGTGGAGTGGAGACTGAGCCCCATGGAGTGGGACTTGGGGTGACTCCAGGAGCACCCCCGAGGTCTGGTGTTCCTGTCTCCCTGGCGTCATGTTGTGGGTGCACTTTGCATGCTCTCGATTATGGAGCTGGGAAAGGGCCTTGAAGTGGAAGAACTGGTGTGGCTTGAGGTTGAACCAAGTGTTGGGTTATTCTGCTAAGACCGCTTTTGGAATTAGAGAGGCTTGGGGTGACATGATGGCACTCAAGGGGTTATAGTGAGAGAGAGGTCATCATTCTAGAAGTGGTCTTCCTGGAGGGCAGATGAGGTAGATGGCAGATGTGGAGACAAGTGAACTGATGAGACAGCCCTGCCTCTGGTTAGGGGGACATGGTCTCATCTTCGGTTAGGGGGACACAATCCTGCCTCTGGTTAAGGGGACACAGTCCTGTCTCTGGTTAGGGGGACAGGGCCCTGTCTCTGGTTAGGGGACATGGTTCTGTCACTGGTTAGGGGGACACAATCCTGACAGTGATTAAGGGGACATGGTCCTGGTCACTGGTTAGGGGGACATGGTTCTGTCCATGGTTAGGGTCTTTCTTGATGCTATGTGTGTATTCAGTTGGTTCATAACCCACTGGCCAGCAGTTGAACTAGGGAGAGGATAGTAGAGAAGCAGCTCCTGAAGGCTTGGATATGTACCTTGGAATGTGGAGAGGTTGTAAGACGTGCTCATGGCTTAATCAAAAGATTTAATGAGGATAGAAAGGAGCGTGCAGGACGTGGTGACTCTTCTCAGACCACGTGGTCCAGAATGTCTTCAGGAAATTCCTGCTGTTTGGGTATAGTGATAATAGTGGGGATAGTAGTAGCAGCTCTCACCGAGCACTTATTTATGTGCTGGACACTGTACATGTAACGGGAAGATGCTCATTTAGTTCTCACCTTCATCCTGCACACACAGCTGCAGAGAATGCCCTGCAGACATATCCGATGTTGTTGTAACAATGAAACATTGTTGTGACATTGTAACTGTACTACACTGTACCACTAGCTTATTTAGTTCTCACCTTCATCCTGCACATAACAACTGCAGAAAATGTCCGGCAGACAGATAAGACGTTGTTCAAGACCCCACAGCCAGCATGAGAGCCCTTCTTGGGAGCCCAGGCTTGGTACCAAAGCTTGCTCCTAGTGCCTACTGCAGGCCAGGGACACGTGATGCTGAGGGCACTGTCCCTTTTAGGAGGTGTCAAAGAGGACTGTTAGGGAGCCAGCTGTCCAGGGAAAAGCCCATTTCTATTTCCCACCTTTCAGTCATTTTCTTGGGGCCATACTCGAGGATATTCATGTGTGGAAGGGCCAGACCAAGAATTGGGTGTTCAAGGGCTTGGCATGCACAGTTTGGAGGAACCCATGTGATCTAAGAAACCTTAGGTGTTGCTTAGAACGACTTTGCATATTCTGAGACGACATATGACAGTGAGGACCCCACACGGTCTTACCCATCTGTAAGCATGTCATGTCAAGCACTTGGTGGGGGTCCAGGACACTGTCAGAGAAGGAGGAGGGAAGCGACTGCCCACATCCCGGCCCATCCTCCACAGCACTGACCTTCTCACACAGAAGTCTCTAGAAGTGGGGAGACCATTTAGGTCTTAAGCTGACTCCTCCCAATTCCAGTCTCCAATAGCTATAAAAAGAGTCCAAAAATTCCTTTGAATTTCTTATGTAAAATGAAGCTGTCACAGAAGGAATCTCAAAAAAAAGATTTCTGAGTAATAATTATTTAACGAGCAATGACAGAATCAAGATGTTTTCAAGAAGGGCGTTCACCATTTAAAGTTTGAGTCATTTACGAGGATCTTTCAGTCACCAGCCAGCCACGAGTCCCCTCTCTGTTGTCAACGGAGTAGTAAGACTGAAATGCTACCCTGGTTGGTATGTAATTATTTAACGAGCAATGACAGAATCAAGATGTTTTCAAGAAGGGCGTTCACCATTTAAACTTTGAGTCATTTACGAGGATCTTTCAGTCACCAGGCAGCCACGAGTCCCCTCTCTGTTGTCAACGGAGTAGTAAGACTGAAATGCTACCCTGGTTGGTATACTTAACCTTGCCCTCCCAGTTTGCATAATACGTAGATTTATGCATTAACTTTTTAATGTCAGTGTTGTTGCTTTGTGAGTTTAGATTAGAGGAAGATTAGGGCAAAAAATATCTCCGACAAGGTTGACAAAAAACTTAATCATTGGGCATTCTAGAGTGGAAAAAGAGTAGAAAATAGTTTATAGATCTGGTTTGGGTAAGCTGTACCATTTCATTGTACCTTAGAGATTTCAGTCTTTTTGTGTTACTCAGTTTTGCATAAATGTAGCGGGAATTGTATAACTAAGAGTCAGCTTAAAAATTCTCAATCATCACTGAAAGTGGATTTTTAAAAAATGAAAGTGATTAAAAAACTTTGTCTTAAAAAAACTTCACTTAATGATTTATTAGATGATATTGTCAATGATAATACTTGAAATATGACCTCTGTTTCTATTGGAATAAGAAATTAATTGGGAATGCTGTCATAGCCTGACAGTTTCCCTGTGTCTGTTTATGTATGGAACAGAGAACTGCGGAACTTCATACATGATTGGATAAGCTGTGATACACAGCGTAAGTCTTGTCTTTTATCTGTATCTGTGGTATTTTATAAAAAAATCCACTTTACTCTCAGTTGCGTATCATTTGTTTTAGTTGATTATATTTGAAATGGAAGATTGGAATGCATCTCATGCATAGGGTAAAAATGTGCCATGATCCTAAGTATCATACTTTTTCTTTCAGTAAAACTCCATTTGGCAATTGTAGAATTGTAGATCATGTGAATGCCTCACACAGGCCCTGACACAGAAGCTTTGCAATGACCTTGCCACCGAATTAAAAGGTTATTTTATCTCTACTCCAGTGTAGCCTGATTCTGTAGAATAATTGAGTGAAACGCTTAGTTTTATGTTAAGTCAGATTTTCAGATTTGAGTTTTTTCTTCCTTTCTGAAAAGCTTCCTAGGCCCTCAGCGTGAAGCAGCGTTCTTCACCATCATGTACGGTTCTGAGCTGGTGGCCACGGTGGGCTTCAGGGCTCTTGTGTGCAGGTGGCCTGACCAGCCATCTGGCGGGTGGCCTGGCAGCCCCTCACATGCATGTGTCTGCTCTGGAATAAGCACGTGTACATGGAGCTGGGATGAAAGCCGAAGCAATGAGTAACGTGTAGGACGCTCCTTCCCTGTGCTATCAGCTGCCGTGGCTTCTTTCAAATGATCAGATTTACATTCTGTTAGTGGGTCTTTTAAAAATGTAATTGAGTGAGAAGGACTTTTAAAGATTTTTCTGTGGCCTGGATACACACCAGAAGACTAGAAATTGCTAATTCACTAAAATGAAAATGTGCGCTTCTTCTGAGGAACGTTTCCCTTGGAACATTGATGGAAGCAGGCTTAGGGAAGGGAAAAGGTCTGCCTGAATTCTTCGCTTTTTCTTGTGACCACTGGAGTGCCCTGCTCATTAGATGCAAGCGTCAAAAGGTAGATTGTTTCCACTGTGCACACCAACTGCGGGGGGCATGGGTGGGATGGGGTGTGTTTCAAGTGACAACACCATCACTGGTGGGGACTTTGCTCTTAGTGAAAACCCAGTGCTTTTTTCGAGCCTGGGTGATTTATAAGGACCTGGCGTGCTTGTTCATTTGGAAAATAGTGTAATAGAATTGGTTTCCCAGTGAATGCTGCCCTTTCACCAAGACTCATAACCAAATATTTTCACAAAGATGTTATACCCCAGTGTGTGAGCATTCATTTTGAGATGATTATTCTAATGGAGCTTAAGTATGAATGTGCTTTTAAAAACTGCTATTTTTAAGTCTTCATTTGCAAAAGAAAAAATATGTTATCAATGTTTCAAATGGACAGTGTTTGGCTTTTGTATACAAGTATAATACAAAGTGTCTCTAATTGCACTGTTGCTAATAAATCTACTTACAAAGCATGTGGTTTTCAGAAAATCATCCTAATGTGGTTGTGTGTGTGAGTAGTGATGACTAAGTTCATTTTTATTTGGTGTCGATACAGTGATTTTTCCTTCCTTTTTATGTTTGCATGGCCATGATATTTTTTCAAGGTTAGTCATTAACTGTGGGTTTACTGCAGAGGAAATAAAAACCACGTCATTGCCTGGGTAAAATATGCTCTGCTATTCTTGCCTGTTCCTACCAAACTACAAAGGTGCCTTGAGTTAATGAGTGAGCTACTTAGAAGGGAATACGCTGCTTGCACATGACGTTGTCACCAGCCAGAATGTATGCTCCCATTATAGCATGATTCGTTTATGGTAATTCACAAAATGGGATGTTATTTCTGTTCTTTGCATCATATAGCTGTTTTCTTCTGGTAAATAAATGGGCTGCACACTTAGCCCATACCAAATGTACTAGAGTTTGTAGAGATAACCAAAGATACGTTGGTGTGGGAAACGACTGCTGTGATCTTTAGGTGATACTGCACCAATGAAACTGTGTCGATGAGTAATCAAGTCAAATTCTATTTGCTGATAAAAATGCTCCCAAAGACTTGATCCACCAGTGGTGCATTCTGTAAACATGCCATGCTGTTACAAACAGCACAACATGGAAAAGTTCATGGCCACTTTCTCCTTTCTTGTTCTTGCTCACTTCTATGAAATGCAAACAGCAAAACATTCTATTTATGATGTGTCTTCTCATTTTTATCTAATAATTGTGCGCTTTGATTATGATGTTTGTGATGTCCACCCAGGAAAATGGGCTTGCAGGACATCCTCTTTGTTACTCCTTGTAGACTGGAGTCAGTCTGCCTGATGCCAGGCCATGCACACCTTATGGTCCAACCACACCTCAGATCTTCATGGCAATAGACAACCCAGCAACCTCTCAGGGGGCATGGGAAATGTCTGCCAACTGCCTGAGCCCTTTCCAAGGTGGCAGCCTTTCTCACACCTTGATTCCACCCCATTTATGCCCTGCTGGAGTTGAAGGGGCAGATGCAGGGCCCTGGGGCTTCTGTTCCTTTGCACGCTTGTAGTGACTGGTGGGTACCATGTGGCAGAGTGCCTTTTATGCGTCTCTGTGTCTGCAGGAGAGGACCTTTGAGGCAGCACCAGTAGGTGGCTCACAAATGATCACAGAATGCGACTTGGAATCTTCCACCTGTTCCTGTGTGGCTTTGGTATACCAGTATAATACACGTATCCAAGTGTAATATAACACAAAAAAAGGATGGGGTGTTGGGCCTTCCTTCATTTTCCACATGTGTCCTCCCACAGGCTGCCCAGGAGAGGCAACCGCCAGCTCACTTAACGGAGACGGGGTTGGGGTTGGGCTGGTCTCAGCAAGAGAGGCAGCTGCTCAGCCCAGCAGGGGCATCTGTCTTCCACCCAGGGCAGGGATGGGAAGAAGAAAGGAAGGTGGCGGCTGATCCTCTGGAGCTGGGGACATGCTTAGTGGATGATCTAGAGAGAAGCTATCTCCATTGGGCCATTGGAGGATTTGCCGTGGCAACATTGGGTAAATTCAGTGTGTCCTGTGAGGTTCTTTAAAAATTAGACCTCAGTTGGATGTGTCCTGCTGTGAGCTTGTGTGTGGTGCCGTGTACCTTAAGAAGTCATCTGTCCTCCTGGAGGCCACAGCCCATGCCAGGGTGCACGGCTGGGCGAGTGTTTCAGCCCAGCTCGCTTCCCAGGCCAGGCCGGTGGACTGGGCACTGGTCCCGTCACTGGTCTCATCTCCTGAAGACCCAGTGAAGTAGCATTCAGCCCAAATATTCTTCCTTTGTTATTATTTTCTTAGATTACTTTTATATCTCCACATTATCGAGGTCATGTAATAAGTATAACAGGCACACAAAAGATCACCTTTGATTTTTTATTTAAAAATTAATAAAGAACTTAATGACAAGTATAATAATTTAATTTCTATACGTAATGCCATGTGTACATCTACATATGAGGGAATACTGTATGTTTTACCTTGGTTTTGTATCAAAGTTTTTACTTAAATCTTTCCAAGAGAAGAATCACCATCGTTTAGTGACACATTGCAATTACTCTATGAAATGATTTTGAAAAGTCTTTTCTATTTTGAAGATACTTTTATTTTTGAGGAAGAATTAGTTTATTTTCGGAGTTTCCTTTTGACTCTGAACGTTTTATTTTTTTGTTTTGTTTTTGGTTTAGTCTGGTTTGAAACAGTGACATTATTGTGTACTAGGGTGTCCTCTTGTTTAGACAGACTTACAGATCTAATTGGAAAACTGCTAATACTCTTACTTCAATTCACTGACATAGTTGGGAGTCTTATAACGAGAGAGAACTTGGTGCAAACATTTTTATAACTTTAGTTAAAAACAGTATAAAAACATGAAACATTTTGAAATTTGTAGTCTACATGAAACAATCACACTTCCTTCATGGTACAGGATCAACTCACTCAATTTCTTGCACTAAAATATTTCTCAGTTCTGTTTACTGATATTCAGGGATTTGAGTCCTCATTTAGTGTTTCTGCAAAAGGTGTGTGTGTGTGTGAAATTAAAGCGTATATCTAAAGTATTGTTTGAATAATCCCCAAAGAATGTTTACCCAATACACTCTTGTCACTTTTTTTCAAGCCCGGATCTGACTACTGATCACTATGTCCTTGTAGAATCAAAACACTGAAAACTAAACTAGATTTGCTGTTGAGTCAGGTGGAAGATGAATGGCAAGAAGTAGCTGCAATCTGTAAAAAGCAGGACCAGGTCCTTCCACCAAGGTTAGCCACTTTCTGTTTGGCATCTAATCAATGAGGTGCCTGTTGACACTAGATTAGATGTGACACCACTGGACGGAAACTTGAAGACTAGGTATTCTTGTCTGTCCACGAACTATTCAAAATTTAAGTCGTACAAAAAAAGGCAATAAAGATCCCTACTTCCTACAGTGAAAAGCAAAAATTTGATAGACAAAGTTATTCATAGACTAGGGGATTTTGATTTCTATAAAAAGGTACTTGCAGAGGTGCAAAGAAATAAGTGAAAAAATAAAGGAACTAAGATTTACATTGCAATGTGTAATCAAGAGAGAGCTCTAAGTGTTCGTGTTGATTTAAAAAATACCTAAAAACATTTAATTCACAGCTTTCCCTAAGTATGTCGTTTAGTACAACTTACTAATAGGTTAAATGGGGGGACGTTAAGTTTGTCTGTTAGTAGCAGCTAAACTAAACACGCTGTTTCTCTTTGAAATGGTCTGGTCTTCCACAGTTGTTACAAAGCATAACCAATTATACAAAACGTCTGGCTGTGCTGACAATAGCAAACAGTGTCTCAGAGGACTGATCCACAGAATCACTTTCCGCCATAGCACAGAACGCCTGTACAGTTGTTACAAAGCATAACCAATTATACAAAACGTCTGGCTGTGCTGACAATAGCAAACAATGTCTCAGAGGACTGATCCACAGAATCACTTTCTGCCATAGCACAGAACGCCTGCGATTCATTGGTGACTGTATTATCCATTGTGTATCTCCATGTGTCTTTTCAAATTCTTGCCAGAATTTATCACTTGGCCTTTGGGTACCAAAGGATTAAAAAACGAGATCTAAGAAAGCTTAGTGTCCACTAGCTCTGACCCTGTCAACTTGCAGTGAATAAAGGCATTTCCTGACTTAGGGGGACTCCTGGCTGCTGGCCATTTGGAAAATGAGCAGTAAACATGTCATAAGTCTGGAGATGAAGAGGATGCTAAATTTAAGGTGTCAGTGTGACACTGAGATGTGGTCACTTGGCTTAGAGCTACAGCACATGAAGGCAAATATACATATAGTCATATTTTAGAGATTATTCATGGTCTCCGACCACTTGAAAAAATTGTGCTTTCTCCGGAATTTGATGTGCTGAAAATTGCACTTGCCCCCTGCTTATTTGCAAAATGAAACGTAAAAATGAAGTCCTTTGCAAACATAAGGCTTGCTTTTTTTCTTCTTCTTTAAAAAAAATAAAGGCTTGAAAATAATCATGAGTTTCAGCTGTGTACAGAGTGGCAGCCTGCCATTTCGCAGGCTGGTAACGTATTACTTGCAGATCGGGGGGAAGGAGTCGAATTCTTACTCATTATCTTGGACTACGTAAGTTTCCTCTCAGATTTTACAACCCACATCAGTGAACTGCAAAGAACAGCTGGCAAGGTGCAACATTTAATACCCTGCGTCTCTTATTTAGCTGTTGGTACAAAGGCCTTCTTGGTACTCAGGGCGCGAAGTGGGGGGTGGCGCCTAGATCGCCACTGCAGTTCCCTCGATCCTATTCGTTTTGGAAAAGGACTGACTCAACTCCAGTGGGTTTTAACAACAGCCTCGAGACTCCAAACACCATGAGTTTTAAAGGAACCAGAGTTTCCATCTTCCATGCTTTTTAGATTCAGTTTTGGATTTTTGCTTGGGAGTTGAGGAGTACGTCTCCTGAGAATAAGGCGAAGGTGAGACCTGAGTTTCCTCAATAGGGTGGAGTTTCCTCAAAACTGGCTGCAGCTTGTCTTCTTGCTGCTTAAAATCCAGTTCCACGCTAGAAAGAACAGAGAGGGAGGAATTTAGGGATTCACCTTTTGCATATAAATTAACCCCCTTAGTGACTACAACATCTGGCAGCACCTACCAGGGTAATTGACACTCGCATTCTGTTTACAATCTGACGCTGTGGTTTAATATTAAGCAATTGGCTACACTATGTTTTAGTTCTATTCTGCTGTGAAATATTTCACATAGGCTCATTTTCTTTGGAAAACAACTTATTTGCTTCCATGGGCAAACCTGTAAAGTTTTGTTACTACTGTACACAGTTGCTTTCAAAGTATATAATGTGTTTGTGAAAATGAAAAACCTGGTGTAATAACCTCACTGTCCAGACTGCCCATGTGTGTTCCACGGAATAAAACAGATAACGAAAAGTACAAATGGACAGGAGTCATGTTCATGCATGTCTACCAGGTGCATGCAAGCTCTGTTCCTATGCATCCTGTCACAAGATCAGAGAAATCCATTTATCTCACCTGGAACAACCATGAAATGAAATGACCTTGGTTTATGTTCTCCTTGCAAAATCTTACCCATCTGAACAACTGGTAAGAGCCGTAGTGTCCGACCCTGGGGAAACTGGTGTGTTTACTGAGTCAACACCATTGAATGTTACTTAGTCGTTGTCAAATACAGTTTCTCAGGAAGAAACATAGTGTTTGGTAAAAACAACACAAAACTGTAATCACACTGCACACAGGAAGTCAGTGTGCAAACATGTAGCCACATGGAAGGACATTTGCCAGTAGTGATAATGTGTGTGTTAGATGGATTGGAGATACATTTTAAAATATATATTATTATAAAACTTTGCCGAACACCATTAATTTGCCTAGAAACCTCCTTTTCTCCATGTCTTTGAAGAGCACCACTTTTGAGCTCCTCACTCTGACTCCTAACAGGTTCTCTTGGCATTTGGGATAGGACCCCCTGGTCTATGTGTCATTTTTCTGTGATGATCCCAGCACTGTGGAGCTCTGTCCCCCTTCCTTCTTATCCCCACCCCTCCAAGACACCCCAGGGGTTTGGGCAGGGTCCCACATTGCACCAGGCGTCAGGAGAATTCTGCTCTGTCTTCCTTCCATGTCAGGTCTGGATGCCGGATGAAATGTCAGCAGATTTCAGTAAAGGCTCAGCATCGATGATAACGCATGAGCTCAAAACATTTTATAACCAGTGCAACTGTAAACCATTTATAAACATGAAATCTTACTGATTTAGAAAACCATTAATCGTAGTCAAATTCTGACATTTTGGAAAGACAAAACAGCAAAGCTTTATCATCTGGAGTTTTAAAATCAAGTTCAAGACCCATTGAACGGACCATTTTGTGTTTTAAATCCACTGTTCCATTTTTCTTATCGTCAAAGGCTGTAATATTACTCAAAAAAATTAAAAAAAACTTGTCAGAGGAATTTGTGGCTGGTAACCTCCTGCTCCCCAAACAAGAGTTATTCTTTTCCCCACTTCAAAAGGCCTCTTTGAGTGATGCTGCAGTTTCTAGGAAGTGGAATAAAACCTCATGAACTCAAGTCGTGCTTATCCAGAATATGGGATAATGGGGGCAAAGTCCCTCATAAGGACAGTTGTGACATGTGCCAGTCTAAGGGTGTGCTGCACTTAAGAGGTCAGCACCTCAGCTCTGTGATGTGATGCAACAGAATAAACATGGGACTGTGTCTTGCCTCTTCCCCGGATGCTGGGGTGGCAGTGGGGGCTTATCCTCCTTAACCTTCAGTTACCTTCACTTCCAGGGAAGATGATAATTCCCACCCTGGCTTTCTCATTGAATTGTGATAAGGTGCTCTCCCTCAACCCACCTCTTGCCTCTTCCCCGGATGCTGGGGTGGCAGTGGGGGCTTATCCTCCTTAACCTTCAGTTAGCTTCACTTCCAGGGAAGATGATAATTCCCACCCTGGCTTTCTCATTGAATTGTGATAAGGTGCTCTCCCTCAACCCACCGCAAATACATCCATGAAAAAGCTTCCTAAACTAAAAGATGCAATTCAAATATTTTTTTATCCTCTAATTATTATTATCTGTCCATCACTAATTTTATAATGGGAACAAGAGCTAACTAATAAGGACATCTATTAGAGAATTCAACTTGTACATTTAACAAGGAAAATGAGAGCCTTTCAATCTAGTCTGTGAGTATATAGTACGTTAGGTATGGAAGAAGTTTACCAAAGTGCTTGGTTAATACTGAGAGCATGCTCTGCAGATCATAACCATTTCAGCAGTCCCAGATAAGATTTTGAGTTATTAGAACAGAGGGCAGGTGCTAGCATTTCCTAGGTTAGCAGTGCAATTCTGGGTACCTGTAATTATTGGAATTCCCTGAAGCAAATACATTGGGAATCCTGTTATTAACCAATTTATCACACTGTGGAAACATGTAATCACACAGTAATCTAATCTGAGTTCCTGTTAACAAAATGACTCAACTTTATCTGTCGAGTGGATTCCGATTTGCACTCCCCCCCCACTCTGCACTGGGCAGCTGCAGCCAGGAGTGGGTTTCACCGAGGAGGACAGTGGAGGCCTGTGAGTGCTGGCTGGGAAATGCCTGCGGTGGGGACTCTGCTCCTGTCTGTCACATCTGTAACAGCCAGTTGTAGTGCCTCTGCTTGGGGGATGACGTGTGTGTGCTGGCTGTTAAGCAGGAGTCACGGGCATCGCTCTGTGCACTGCTTTCTGCTGGGGGACTCTTCTGGTTGGGCAGGAAGCACACCAAGTCACCGTGTTGAGTCTGAAGCAGACAACTAGCTGGAGAGAAGGTGATATCCGAAGGTTAATTGTCTAGCCAGCTCTGGCTGACATAGTACAAAGGTCCCTTTGGTCTTAGTAGCCAAATGGCCAGAAGAAAGCAGCATCTGCTGTCCTGGTTAGAGCAGAGGACTTTGCAAAAGCTGCCCTAGACATTATGGGTTGCTGTGACTCCTCTGCCCACTGACCTCCCTCCGTGTTTAAGACAGTGATTGCGTGGGTAGGGCTTGAGGGCTCTGTCTAGTGGAGTGAGATGGGCTTTGCTCTGGGCTTCACCTGCCTGCACTCTGGCAGTTGTGTGGTGTGGGTGGTGGTCACCATTGCTGGTGCCATGTCTTTGTCCCTTGCTACCTTCTTCTTAGTTGTCTTACTTGTTTCTCCCCACCTGAAGCACCTTCCCTGGCTCCTGGCATGACTGGCTAGCCATTCCTTGTCCTTCTGTTCCTTGGGTAGACATAAAAGATCATCTGCATCCATCCTTTCTTCTTTCTCTGCACTCACCACGAACAGTTACTTTGTTTCCATATTATTTTGTCTCCATCTTCCCAAATGCAGGTGCCTTGACCAGGGAAGAACGTTCTCCTGTCTGTTCCCAGCACCTGCAACAGGGCCGGAGTCACGGCAGTTGCCTTAAGTAATATTTCCAGACTTCATGAATGAGCACAGAGCCTCAACAGGCAGATTCTCCCTCGGCCGTGGTCCACGTGCCTGGACTGCTCTGTTTTGGTCAATGTTATTGACCCTGCCTCCCCTTCTCCTCCCACAATGAATGCCCCTCATTGCCACTGACACATAGGCCTTCTCCTGGAGGTGGCATTGTGGGAAGCATTCCAGGTAGGGGTCTGCCACCTGGCTCTACTCTATGAGAACTTAATCGAAGAAGATTCTGAAATATTTTCTGCCAAACACACAGCAGGTTCTTTGGGAGCCTGGCTCCCATGCCCTGGTTCCCTACTTTTTCCCTAGGCATCTGCAGAGAGATCTTGGATAGGGTGGGTGCAGGCAGCAGGGAGTGCTGATGGGTGGCTAGATGCTCCTGTTAACTCTGTCAGCAGGACCTGGGAGTGTCATTCCAGTCCCTTTTCATTTTTCCTGCGGACCAGAGGAGGGCCTGAGCTGGAGGACTGGCCTGCTGTTTCCCTAGCGATGTCCTGTCTCAGAGCCCTCAGAGGCAGCACGCCTCTACTGTGTTGTCTAGCCCTGCCTTCCCGGGCAGTCCCAGCACAGAATCGTGTCCTCCAGCCATGCAGGCAGAGGGAAGTCCAGGCTCTAGACCTCATCATCTCTTATGACTCGGCTGGGGGCTTTGCA